GCTGGTAAGCGAAAACAAGTGGTGGAGAAAGGCTGACGCGAACGACTGGATACAGTCCGTCGTTCGCTGACCGACCGTTGTACTGACCTGGCGCGTCATTGTACGCATATATAAATAAATAAATAAAATAAGAAGAAGAAAAAAATGGGCTGGCGCTGCTTCAAACCCATCCCTTTGAAACGTCCCGTCATCCGGAAAGAACAACAGTGTACCACATTCAAAGTAGTGTTCAGGTAACGTGTCTTCAACCGAAGATATCCGCCTCACCGCTACAAAATTACAGGAAGGGTCGGGAGAAAATCCTTCTGATTTTTGATTATTTTTTTTCGTCTCAGGCGCACTACATATACAAGTGCTATCGCGGACAGTCAGTCGGGACGATGTCTGGATAAAACCCCCTCTGGTTCCCTATCCAACCAATAGTGATCGACTACTGGTGGCTAAAAGACAGTGCGATCACACATAGTTTGGGTATGCGTGAACACCAGGCCCCAGCGTTGAGCGTAGCGGTTTCCCCGTTCAAACATGCGCAGAAATGGAGATCCAGGACCGTGGGACACGCTAATTCCTCCATGCTCCGCCTAAAATGCAACTTGCGGCGCAGACTCCCGATCCCGTTTATACTAACAGCCGTCCGCGCGGCGCGTGTCGCGCGCAACGCTTTTGGCATGCCAAGCCGTTTTAAACGCAAACTCCTGATGCGGATAACATTTGAGGTGTTGCTCATGCTGCAAAATCCGAATCAAAGAAGATGGCAAGGGCCAGAACCTAAGAGCAAGTGCTGCTTCTGCAATCTCCCTCGGAGGCCGCGCATTCCCACAAAACATGAAAATAAAAACGGCCTAAGCGTCCCACTCGTTAGTTTGAAGTATTTTTATGGCTTTGGAGCCGGAATCGCGCAGAACTCCTAAAATTTACGCATTTAGAGGAATTTACAATTAATTTCACCTTTCCCTGGAATTGCTATTTTTATTTTATTTACATCCACTACTACATTCGTTGCTCTTCAGTTCTAGCCTTTGTCATCTTCATCTTCTTCGATTCGGACTTTGCAGCATGAGCAACACCTCAAATGTTATCCGCATCAGGAGTTTGCGTTTTACGCGACTTGGCAAAGTGCCAGAGCGCTGCGCGCGACACGCGCCGCGCGGACGGCTGTTAGTATAAACGGATCGGGAGTCTGCGCCGCAAGTTGCATTTTAGGTGGAGCATGGAGGGATTAGCGTGTCCCACAGTCCTGGATCTTGCCCATGTTCGGACGGGGAAACCGCTACGCTTCCACAGTGAGGGACTAGTAGTCACACAGACCCAAACTATGGTGGTCGTACCATGTGTCTTTAACAAGAGAGTAAACACTTGGTGGAAACACCGATACTGGTGTGATCATCCCGTCCCTCTTGAAAGCGCCCCGACCGATTGCGATGATGTCAACTGTACCTCACTACTTGATGGAGTCACGAAACTACTTTCCCTGATAGTTGGTGATAGAGAAATCTACCCTCTTCCCACACTCACTTGTGTCGAAAACAATTTTTGCTTAATCTGTGAAATTTCCAGAGTTGACGACTGGAGGCCGACATTACTGGGAATCCGACCATGCGTGGATAGGTCTGAAACGGAAGGTTCTCCTGTTCAATAAGCTGAACTCACGCTCGAGGCATGTAGATGACATGGATAAGTGGGTCTGGACCGACGGCACTCCTGTGATCTACACTAACTGGGATAAGAAGCAACCCGACAATTGGCACGGCGAGGAAGCATGCACACATGTAATGTACTTTTCGTTCATTTAGTGCAAATTTAAAGTTGTTATGGTGAGTAATTTTCGAGAGAGCTTGCAGCACCTAAAGACCTACATCGCTCCTATGCATAATTTGCTTCGTCTGTCTGTCGATTTGGTTTGTTTGTTTGTTTGTTTGTTTGTCTGAAAGTTCGGCTGGCCTGAAGAACAACTTTGGGAGGTAGGGTCAAGGTGGGGATAGATAGGCGCATAGAACAAGATGTAAAGAGCACACATGACTTATGCGAAACCCGCCACACAGTGGGCGGGGACTGAGCCGAAAGTTGGTGGTGCCGCAAAAAACTCATAACTCGCTTCAAAGAGGGCGCAGAGATGGGGGGAAGAAACAGGAATAAAGCTAGCAAGGAAAGTCAGACTAATTAGGAGAACACACCTGAAATGAGTGGGACGTGCTTGAGATAGGAGGTGCTTCCCCCAAAATTCATTAGTTCGTTTCCCGAGAGATCGAAGAAAAGTAGATGTAGGAGGGCAACATCTGGTGGGAGTTGGGCACGCCTGAGGTGTATTGAGACCCGCCTACAGGAGTGCCGCTTGCTCTCAGTCGTAGGGTTCTCATTTCAGAAAGATTGCAGCTCTGTTCCAGAGCACTCCAGAGACCGGTAAACATGCTCGAGGTCAGCAAAGGGTCTACAGTTGAGGTCTGAACTCTGCTTCAGGAGGGCAGAATGAGCCCGTCTGCGGATGCCTTACCTCGCAAAGGTGATCGGTGAGCGAGCAATTTAGAAGCCAGTAGACGCCCCGCAGATGGACCCATTTCATCTGCCTTGGGGGCACCCCGACTGATTGCGGTGATATCTGCTGTAGGCCCGCAACTACACGACGTGCAGAGATCTTTGCCTACCCAAGCTAGCGCGTTTCGTACGCGCAGCAGATGTGCTGCCTTTGGTGCTGAAAAGTGCTTGATAGGAGCGACACGGCTCTGCCACAAAAACGGTCACCGCCCCACAGTCGTCCTCCACCCTTGTCATTTCCTTTGTCATCGTCATGGTTTATTTTTCTGTGCTCAGTGTCCCTTCAAGAAAATATTCATATCATGTACTTCGGACTGACAGAGATCCTATTGTCTTTTCAAAGTCTTTTTTTCCGTTTTCCTTCACAATTGGTTGGTACCACGCCAATCATTTTCAAACCTCACGGCTCACAAAGGGCAATAGCGGGCTCTTAGGCTGCGTTTATACTTTGCGGCAGCGTAGCGCAGGGCACGCCATTGCTTTGTGATCATTCCCTGAAAAATACGACCCCCCTCCAAATAAGGGTCTTGATACGACCCCCCTGTACATTGCAAACGTTCTGTTTCGCATCGTTTTCCTTTGCTTCTTTGGCCGCGCTGTCAACAACAAACCCTCGCAAAACATTAAAATTAGGCGTGAGGGATACGGTAGCCAAAAAGCGCGCAAGGAGTGTAATTGCATCCAATCGCCCATGCGCTGCGTCCCTCTTGCATTACACGTCACCCACACGCGGCGCGCTAATACAAGCTCATTGGTGCGCGTTATTTTTCGTCCTCAAGCCAAGTTCAAGCCAGCAAACTGCAACTCTACAAAGGGCTTCCTAGGTGCAAGTAGATGTGCTCCCGAGACAGAAAGGTCCGGAGGTGTACTTTCATCTGTTTATTTATTCATGGCGGATATTTATTGGCGCGGAGGTGGTGTAGTGACAAGTGGCGCGCTTACCACTCGCGCGATGCCGGGTTCAAATCCCGGCTCGACTCTCGCCCACGCCAACTAAGCCTACTACCCTGTGGACAGTGAAATGGTACCAGATTCGTCTGGGAGGATGAAACACTGACCCTTACACGGCTCTCCACCGCAAGTCATCGTATAGGCCACATCGCATTCAATACGCCACTATGATCCTAAATAGAAGTAGAGTGCGTGCCCACGAAGAGGTTGATCAACGGCGGAGTCTTCGTGCTTCTTTCTGTTTATTATTCATCGACGTCATTGTGGGCGACCATCGTAGTTTCGCCCATTCCCACTTCTGCGCTGGTATGTTGCTTCTGTCTTGTGTGGGTCTCTTCGGGGGCTCATCACATGGATGAGTCATTCATCATTGAATCTGAGCGGCATCTGGGTATCGCTGCACCCTCACATCAAAAAGGTTCCCGCGTTTACGCCCCCCCCCCTTGTGATGATCATAACGATGGCGTGCCCTGGCGTAGCGTAGTGTAGCGCAGCGTAGCGTAGCGCTTCCAGCGTACGCCGACGGCACGCTAGCGTTACGCCAGCGCACGCTAGCGCCTGCAGCGACGGGCTAGGGTGGGGCTAGAGAGTATGAAAGAGTAGGAGAGTACGAAATACTCTCCCCCTCTTCTATACTCTCTAGCCCGTCGCTGCAAGCGCTAGCGAAACGCTAGTGAAACGCTGGAAGCGCTAGATCGATAGCCGCCAGCGCTTGCAGCGACGGGGCTAGAGAGGGGCTAGAGAGTATAGAAGAGCAGGAGAGTATTTTCGTACTCTCCTACTCTTTAATACTCTCTAGCCTCACTCTAGCCCGTCGCTGCAAGCGCTAGCGTAACGCCAGCGTGCGCTAGCGTTACGCTGGTGACGCTGGGAACGCTAGATCGATATCTATCCTTCCCCGACACTGCCGCTGGCGTACGCTGGAAGCGCTACGCTACGCTGCCGCAAAGTATAAACGCAGCCTCAAATCTGAAGATCGTCAGTTCGCGCTGCGCAACTTTCGACTTTTTTTTGCTCCTCTAGATGTCCATGGTCGCTCAAGGCTATATTGAAAGTTTTGCGCGGAGAAAGCGGGACCGGAAGTGCTTTCGAACTCGCGAGCGCAGCAACTACAGTCATGCGTCAAGTGGCGTGTTGTAGGAAGAAAGCCCGGATGTTGATAAATCGCCTGCTTTGCTCAAGCGTTTTTTTTTCGCAAAAATGAGGTTGTGGATTTTCGCACAACGACGATCCAAGTAACATGGGAACCTGGCACGCTTAGGGGGGGTGGATTCGATGGGGCACTTTCTGTTTTTGCAGTACGTTATGAGAAAGGATGCTTTTTCGTTCATGTTCCCACGAAAATGTGAAATTGATTAACCAGTTTTCGGGTCTCATATTACGATATTTCCCACAACCACCCTTCCAGTCATATGACGGAATCCTTCTATTCTATAAACCAGTAACTTTGTGTGTCGGTTTGTATGTATGTAAGTATATATGTATGTCTGTCCGTCCGCAAAATGCTTCACGGGTTAGAATTAGTGGAAGGAAGAACGACCGCTAAGCAAACCGGAACCGATTTTTGCAGATGTATCAATCCAATGTTTTGATTAGGATAACAGCCTCCGCTATGTGCTCGTGCGGGGGCAGGGTGGGGTGGGGCCGAGAGGGGGGGGGGGCACTGGCGCCCCCCCCTCTGCTTCCTTCCCCTGCGCGTGCTCAGCCCGATCTGAGCATGCGCAAGAGAAGGAAGCAGAGGGACGGTCCGACTGGAACACTGGGGCGTTTTTTTTTTTCAAGGTATGATATAGGTTATGAGGCGGCACAGGAATTTGTGGGGAATTGACAAAAAAACTGCCTAGCAAGACGGTGAGTTAGAGTGGAACAGTACAACTATACTCATCGTGATACGCGCAGCAATCAGTTCAGTCAAATGATATCCAAGGGCGAGTGGGAGCCGAGCCCGGCATCCCGCGGCGTGAGCAAAGAAATACGATTAACAGTTGACTAGGGCCCTCATCAGAGCGATTTTGGCAGCTTCTGTTCTGTTTTCCAACTGCAAAATGCTGCGAGCCTTTAACACCCACCACGAAATTATGGAGTTTTAGTAATAGCGACATTGATGACGGGTGACAAGCAATTTTATCAATTGATAAGTAAAGATAAGGGGACATTTTCACGACATCTCTGACCACTACACTGCCAAAAAAGCCTCTCAGTAAGCGAAATTTTCCCACAGCCACTCTGATAGCACTAGAAAATGTACTCATCCCACTAGGGGGGGGGGGGGGGTATATACTTCGCCTGAAACAGGAATTTTGGAGTAATCAAAAACTCCAATATTGGAACACACTTTATGCTTTCAGTGAGTATTCAAATTTTTTTTTGCTTTTCAACATTAAATCACTGAGGAGAACGAATAACGAAGTGGTTTGTAAGATATTCAATGAACGCTAAATATTGTCATCTGCAGCCATTCATGCAACCTTAGCAGGTGGATTTCATGTTAATGACAACTTAATCGCCCATCGTTGGTGTTGCAATGCATGATAAAAAGGGAATGTGTTCATCTACTGTGCAACATATATTGATATTCTGTACTTCCTATCTATTTCTGAGATCTACGTATAGAATGGGCGTTATGGCCGAAACCACACGCCTTCCGCAACTCTGAGGGGTGCAGATTTCGCTAGGTTACTCTGTCTATTATGATTCGACCACTACCGCGCAATATGAGCAGCTCATGCAATTAACTAATTCCATCCCGTTATGATGTGCGCCTGGCGAAGCCAGGCCAGCTCGGCGAAGCCGAGCTAAAAGAAGGAAGGAGGGAGAGCTCGGCGTCAGCCGTGCGATCCGACTCGTAAAATAATATAACGTACCTATCGATCTTTTTATCACACCGTTGGGGATTCCCCAACACGGGAGCGGTCGTATTTGGTCCGAGGAAAATTTTTTGGGTAGTTGGTTTTTCTTGTTTTACTGACGCTATAAATTAGCGGGGAGAGGGGGAGGGGGTGAGTCGCACACGGAATCAACAAAAATCCCCAAATTACCTCTTTCTCACCCAGTCACCTCGAATCCAATTTTGATATCGTATACCTAGTGCAGTTCGGCTTGGTGAGGGCACTTTGCTGAGTCCCGTCGCTCTCTGCCAATGCCTCCCTTTGAGACTGTAAATTCCTGTAAAGCCAAGCAATTGCATGAGCTACATTTACACTTTTCTGCAGGTTCGAACATGTGACACGAGTAATCTGACAGGAACTACCAAAATAAACAAACGAAAGTGCAAAATGATCTCCCTCAAGCCGACCAACGCCATTGTATCCACCAACGAGGTACAGCATCATGGTGTGTGGGATGGTGGTGCCAGTACGACCCCCCCCCTCTCGAGGAAGGGTCCTGGTACCACCCACCCACCCATCGGTGGGTCTCGGTACGAAACCCCCCCCCTCCTCCAGCACCTACCAGTTTCCCACATTTTCCAGTTTTTCCCCAAAGATTCTCCGTCGAGCGGGGAAGGGGAAGGGGGTATATACCCACCGGGAGAATTTCTGAGATTTTCCTACCACATTTTCACCTTTTCCCGAGTTTCCTGAAAATTTCCTAGTTTTTTTTCAAAAACCTTGCTGTCGAGCGGGGGATAAATAGCACATCTGAAACGGGAAAAACTGCGAAACGTTAACAACCGGGAAAAGTTTTCCCTGACGCAGCAAATTTCTCTCAAAGCCACATACGACTCCCACTCTCCCAACAGCGACCAAAATATGTACGACCCCCCCCCCTCGAAAAGCACGTCCCCGCCCCTACTGTTTCACACAACGATGCCGTACCCTGTCCACCAATGCTGCCGACGTAATGGGCGATTTTCCTTTGAATATGGTGCGCGATGCGTAGTTTCTTTTTCCGCAGTGGTTTTTACTCACACTGTTTACAAAGCCGTCATTCTGCCGAGGGTTTTGGATTTTACATTCGAAATGCCCCTCCGCCAATAAAACTTCTCGATTCAGTCAGGTGGTGGACGATAGCACCGCAACCTGCACGCCGGTGATATACGAGGACTAGCGCACTTCAAGACGGTAGGTGGTCGAGCTATTTGACCACACATAAGTGTTGAGTGCACTCGGCGCCGCGTAGATTAGCCTGCCAATTTGTACTAAACTAAATGTTATCATTTCTTTAAACTTTTTGTAGCACTTCTCTGCCACTTACTCATTGTAATGGAGCGTTTTCTAGATGTTCAATCACGATACGGATCCCGCTGCGAAAACGTTGGAATGATGTGAATTGCAACAAGAAGATGAGCAGTTTCGTCTGCAAATTCAAAACCCCACGAAATTAAGAAGAGAATATTTTACGTTGATTTAAGGCAAGTACTACGTGCTACTTTAGCGCGTAACGCTATTGCCAATAAATTCTACACGAGATGTCGAAGTTGCTCTCATCCTCTTTTGATTCCATGCGAGATCGGAAAAACGACAAGTTATTACGGCAGCTAACGGTAAGGTCCATCTCGCGATGCCCTGAAAGGGCGTGTCCGCGTAGTTAATTGTGAGAGCGGTGGCTGCTCACTTATGAATTCGGTTCAGGCAGAGACGTGCATGTGCACAAGAGAGTGCTTGCGACACAGAAGACGTTTACGTACCCCTGATTCATCTCTGCATGCACAAGTGCATTTAGGGAAGAACGCCGAGTCCGCAAACACGCCCATCGCTCAAAATGTTCCAGAAGTTTTCTAGTTTCTCCACAACAGTGTATGTAAAAAGTTTCCTCAAGGTCGGGTACGTTCTGCCCTCCCCCATAGCGACAAGTAACTACAAGCCCCCTACTTAGAGGCAGTATCCCAAGGGTGTCGTACCTTACGGTAAAAAATTTTTTCTAGTTGTTGATATTCTCGCCTCGCGCCCTCCATTTTCTGCATTGTTAGGAGATTCCCGGGCAATAGTATCTGACCGAACTAGTCGAAGGGGTCCTATTCTGCAGAACTGTGCACAACGTGATAGTGTGCCCCGTGCGTCTTATATCCCCAAAAACAGTACAGAACGGCGACCTAAACGATTTGGGGCTAAAGTGCTATAGTCGTCATTCGGGCACTTGATTAGGCGGCCGAAGGGTCGCGACGCGGCTGCGGCGTGTCACGACCGCGGCGATCAGCTGTTTCCAGCCTGTTAGCCATTTTCTCCCTAATTTTCACTGTTTTTGGCTGTTTTTAAGGTCACTTGTTCCTTGTCTTCAAAGGTAAATTATGATTGAGATTTCTCTAATTTTTGCAGACAATTTGACCCATCAAATAAATACCTGAAAAATTGCAAAAACACTTTATTACAAAAAAAATTCACGTCTCATACACTTCCATAAAGGCAATAACACAACTTACCTTGAGAAAAAAAGAAAGTACTGTGAAAACCAAGGAGAAAAGGCTAAACCAGGCTGGCAGCAGTTGATCGCTGCGGTCCTGACGAGCCGCAGCCGCGTCGCGACCCTTTGGCGGCTTAATCAGCTGCCCGGATATCGACTGTATGTCGAGTCAAATAGCTAGGAAACCTGGCTCACAAGCGATGTTGGATCTCGATCTCGTGCATCACCATGACGCGACCACCGGCGATGGAAATATTTTTCCCAGCCAGGATCAGACTGTACCATGCTTGCATACAAAAACGGTCCCTCTTCCAACCCAGCGCATATTCAGATGTCCCCATAATGTTACGGGGGAAAAGGAAGGACGTATAGAAGTGATATGAGTGATACCCGGCTACTCTAATTATTATAAGTTCAGGGACATATTTAGGTGTCAACAGTATCCCAAACTGAGCACAGAACTGAGTGCGTAGAAGCAAAGAGGGCACACTCAATTTCCTGCCTATCCCCTGGTCAGGTTTAAGGTGGAATTAAAGTAGCTCTTGCATTTGGGAGACAGCCAAGACAATCGTAAACACTTTGCAGCGCGCGGCAAAGTGCGTGGCGTTTCCACAATTTGTATTAGCCTATCGAGTGGGCACCGGATTTCACGCATACTACAGCATCGCATATGTTTGTGACTCTTTTCGGTTAGGCAGTGTTTATTCTCTTCATATGCGACCAGCAAACTTCGTCATTTTGGCGATTTGTGGGCTCGGCGTCGCACGCGACGTCCATCAGCGCGGCAAATTACGATTGTCTTGTCACATACACTCCTTATCCCATAGCCAGAGTAGGCGTGGCATTTGAACATGGCACGGAACTGGTTACTCGTGGAATATTCCAGTCTGGGACAACTGTCATCTTGTTCTGTGTTGGACAGAGACACGACAACAATTGTGTCAAGATGAAAATATCTCACCAGAAGCATAAACTCCTTCAGGTTAAGTTGAAACATGCAGCCACGCCTACCCGATCTCGGTACTTCCTGGCCTCACCTGTTGCTCCTTTGCATTGCATTCACGGAGAGGACAAATTTAATTTCACGCACAGTTCTCAAGGGTACTGTAGACCACCCGTTTTTGAACTCACAATGCTGTGGTACAAGGGGCAGGGATAGCCGAGTGGTTAAGAGTGTAGACTCACGTTCACACCCTGAGCCACGAGTTCAATCCCTGCCGAGGCACAAACCTGCCTTGCAAAAATTGCAAAAATGGGGACGATACCAGCGTCAGGCCCAGGTTGACAGGCCGGCTGATGGAGGAACCCGTCACAACAATCATGACAAGTCGCAATAGAATCAGTGTTAATGCTAGGACGTCACCCGGAAGTGGCGCGCAGAACCCTCGCCCGAGTTCTGTGGTCAGTATGCGAGGGCTACCGAGGGGTGAACGACCTCGGCCAAAGAAGCTAGTTCGAATTGGGACCCTGAACGTGGGGTCGCTTACCGGGAAGTCTCGTGAGGTTGCCGACCTCATGAGACGCAGGAATATCCAAGTCCTATGCCTTCAGGAAACGCGATGGAAGGGTGCGAAGGCCCGCGAGATTGGAGAAGGCGTCAAACTCTTCTACAATGGAGCAGACACCAAACGGAATGGCGTGGCCATAGCGGTGGCAGAATCCCTGAAGGCAGAATAGCAAGGTACTGCCTCAGTAGATTCTACACTCATAAAAACATTTCGGCACTATTGAACTATTCCTACCCCAAAAAACTCAAAAAAATTTTTTCGCTGAAACGTTGCCTATAGATGTAATTTGATGCGCTGATCACGGATATAACATCCGTTTTGAGCGCTTATATAGCACCGAACTAGCGTGTAACAGCGCCGAATGGCGCCTGCGCCAAAAATAATGTTGGATTCTTAATGAGGACCTCAACAGATCCCCATATGCAAGTTTTCATCGACTTTGGTGAAAAAGTGTTGGGCGCCAAACACATTTAAGCGTCTTCAAATTGGGTTTAAGCGCAACATAAATAAGTCGCCAAATGACGCCAGCGCTCAAAACGGATGTGATATTCGTGATCAGCGCATCGAATTACATCTATAGGCAACGTTTCAGCGAAATTTTTTTGAGTTTTTTGGGGTAGGAATAGTTCAATAGTGCCAACATTTCAAACTTAAAGCATATGGCACGATAATTTGGTACTCGGTCTAAAATGCTAGCAGGATGCTACATAGTGGGGAAATGGCGAAAAAACGAAGTGAAACGGTCAAAAACCTGCAAAGAAAGCCTCCTTTTTGACGACGAAAAGCAATTTCGGACGAGTTTCCGTAGGCATCTTGCCAATAACCGCTACGGTAGATGCAACTGCACATATGTAATCATATATCCATGCAGCATCGCGGCCGTTGCCAGTCCCTTCGATATTTTGCTCCGCAAATAAAGCAATACGTGCATCAGTTCGGATGTTGTGGCTTGATTAAGCCTCATACGGTTGCCCTCCTTGGGAAAGGCGCTACGCAGCGTCTGCTTAGGGACGCGGAATTCAGTTGTCGAGCTGTCGAGCTGAGCGGACCAAATACGACCCCCCCCCTCCAAAACGTCCGCAAAGCGAGAAAAATCAACTATAAAAATAAATTTTTCCCAGCCCAAATACGACCCCCCCCATAGGGAATCCCAACCAATGCTGTGCCCTGGCTTCAACTCGTTGTATTGGGTTGGGGAATAAGTTCGCTCGGTTTCTTCAGAGAGCACTTAAATGATTTGTTTGTTGTTTGGTAAAGTGTTTGCATTCAATAGAAAGTGCTTTTTCTGCTCTACAAAAGTGTGTTATTTGTTTGTTTCTAGTATAATTTCATTTATTTTCATTTTTCAGGCTTAGAAATGGAATACCCAGGAGGCAAAAATCAGCATTTTCGACACCTACTTTTCTTCGCTTTTCATCGCGGTCAAAAAGCAGCTGAAGCCGCTCGTGATATATGCAACGTGTACGGAGAAGGTGTCATAGGCGAGCGCGCAGCACAAAAATGGTTTGCAAAGTTCAAAAACGGCGACTTTGACCTCGACGACACGCCTCGCAGCGGACGACCTGCAGAATTCGATGAGAGCATCTCAAGGCGCTTTTGAAGGAAGATGGTCGCCAAGCAAGCCGTGAATTGGCCAAAAAAATAAACTGCGATCATGAGACGATCCCGAGCGGCTTCAGCTGCTATCTGACCGCGATGAAAAGCGAAGAAAAGTAGGTGTCGAAAATGCTGATTTTTGCCTCCTGGGTATTCCATTTCTAAGCCTGAAAAATAAAAAAAATGAAATTATACTAACAAACAAATAACACACTTTGTAGAGCAGAAAAAGCACTTTCTATTGAATGCAAACACTTTGCCAAACAACAAACAAATCATTTAAATGAAGCTCTTGAAAAAACCGATCCAACTTATTCCCCAACCCAATACAAAATACAACGTAGGTCGTGCTTGGCCGTTGGACTTAACGGGTCAAATTGGTCCTGAATAGAAGTTTTCCGATTTTTGGTTTTTACAGTTTCGCACGCCAGAGATACTGTATCAAGATGTAGCAGAAAAATTCCGCACGCGCTCTGAAGGTGATCGCTCATAAAAGTATGCATTTTATGTGGACCGCTAATGGATAATTCAGTATAATATATTCATTCGAACTACGAGATCAGCAGAACATCGAACTGCATAAAAGCCCAAGTTCCACGGAGCCATCCATTTGCGGTCCGTGTTTCCAGCTGTTCTTCATTCTAACCAATGTTCGTTTGACTTAACCATTAAGATCTGCTCCCTTCACTGAGATGTTCGGGCCCCTTTACCCTGCAAATGCAATCCTCCGAGCACGACACTGTATACTTAGAAGATCCCATTTTCGAATTTAGAATAAGAAAAAAAGTCAATTCTTCGCAAAAACCCAGCTCTTACGAT